TATATATATATATATATATATATATATATATATGCATTCTATCTTCTGTTTATGAATGTATCTTGTATATTATTGGTTTTCAGGGAGTATTTCTTCATCAAACTCTGGAACTGTTATAGAACACTGTTTTCAATTGGGCCATTAGAGAGAAGAGAGGCATATAATATGCTATCTTTGTATTTTTCTTTTTCCTGGTCTAAAGAAGAATGTGAAGATGCTGATAGTGGTACAATCATTAAAACTGACAAATTTGACATAAGAGTAGAAAAACAGTTTTGGGATGAAATAAAGATTGGGCTGGTACTCAAGTTCTGTTTAGTGATATTCTGTCAGTTTATTTAATTTGTTATTGCTTTGCCTACTTAAGAACCAAATTGAATCTGTTCAGGTTGACAAGGAGAGTTTAGTGAGGAAGCAGAGTTTACATATATTCAAGATGGCTCTGAATATACAAGGAGGAAAGGATTCCATCTCTAGCATTTCAAAAAGGAATACCAAAGAAAAGCATTCATTACCCCATGGTGTAACAAAGAGGGAAAAATGGGCTTACAAGGAAGCCAAGTCGCTTGGTGTCGGGAACCTTCCGATAATAGATGATCTGATTAATAACAGCCAGCGGTATTGGGATGCATTTGTGCTTTTATATGAGATGCTTGAAGAATATGGCACTCATTTAGTTGAAGCGGCTTGGAATCATCAGGTGTAGAATCATGTGTTCACATTTTTTTTATCTTACTCATCTTTGTTGAAGTTATAGAGATTAAGGTTAGAGGTGGGGGGAAAAAGAGAACAAACTCCCTATATCTTAATATAATATTTGGTGTGTAATGATGTGTTACAGCTTTCCAAATGAAATTCACAACTTCTATTTATACTAATATGTGACTTATAATGCTAGTTGAATATCAAAATGAATCATGAAGTATGGTAAAATATGGAAACCACTCTTGAGTGATAATTCAAAATACTAGAAAATATTTTAAGATTCAAATAATCCTAGTGCATATGTTTATTTGGTCAGTTTTTAAATTTACACTTTATTGCATATAGTTTTGACCCACTTTCAGATATTCTTAGGACTTGGTATTTTGGTTGCTTACTTTTGTGCTTCCCACAATCAATGGATTTGATGTGGTACATTAATTGTTTCGTACAGGTCTCTTTGTTATTTCAATTCTTTGGGTCTTTCTCAATGTTGGAAGCAGTATCAGTAATGTTCAAAATCAATTTGAAATTTATGGTGAGACTTTTGATTGGTTATCTATTTCATGGTGAGCCCTTTTCAAATGATTTACTATTATTCATATTTGAATTTGAATCTATGCTAACCATTTTCTCTTTGAACTACTTATGGAATGATTTAATTTTGCTTAAATTATTATTTCCTCCAAATCTGATGTTTCCTTTGTTGGTCTCCTCCATCTTATCCAAATATTATATTCTACTTAATGCTGCCCTGATTGAATTTACATTTCAAAGTGCAAAAGGAGTTTATATGTCAAGGTTATTGAAGGTGCAGCCCAGTTTCTGCGCTGTTATGTTAGTTTTCTAGCTCTAAGGTATACTTAGAAATCATGTTTGTATGTAGACTGGTATGTGTGTGTATAATAGAATTCATAGGAGAAAAATGTTTTAAAAAATAGGAGGATTTGGAATCCTTTTGATGTTACCGAGAAACTATATCAAGAACAAAAAAGAGCTGGAATGAAAAAATACATTAGTTCAATTGAACAATCTAATTCCTTTGCACGTCCAAACTTGAAACACTCCAAATTTCATGAGATAGAACAAATAGGAACTATTCAAATTTAACAATATATAACAAAAGAAGGGATGGATAAGAACAAATAATTATCAAACTAGATGGTGTTGGAAAAATTACAATATTATGATAGTGTTGAAATTATACCTATAACAATTAAACAAACAGGACCAAATATAGATAACTAAACACACTCATTTTATGTATTTAAACAAATAAGAGTGTGATTACAATAATTATAGAACAAATAGGAAGAATTAAAACTAGAAAAATCAAAATGTGTTTTTATCGACATAAAGACCTTAACTCTTACCTTTGTGCTACCACTAGTCATGAAGTAGAGATTCTAGACCAAAATATTTTAAAGAAAAATGAATCTCAACTTCAAGATATAGTGAAGAAGGAGTGGACTACACTTGATTCTACTTCTTGTACTACTTCCTTGGAGGTGCCCAAGGAAGCTAGCCTTCCTCTCTTTAGGACTCCTTCTACCTTAGTTGTTCTAATTAAGCACCCAAATTTTGGAATATATTGTTTGATAGATACATCTTGTCATGTTTCATATTCTATTTTTGTTCTTATGGGAAGTTCATCTTTTGAACTTAATTTGCCTCCTTTCCTACAAGACAAAAATAGTTTATAAAGTTTTCAAGATTTCACAAAACATTATCTTTTAACAAGTATCTAATAAACAATATGATTCAAAATTGTTTAGGAAGTTTTCTTTTTTTAGTGTTTTTGAGAGCATGCCTAGAACACTATTTAGGATATTTTAGGCAAGAAGTTGTAGTTTTTAAAAACCATTCTTTCCATTGTATTAGTCTTAGTGTTATTACATTGTTAGGATTTCCTTCTAGGTTATGCTTAGAAGAAGAATCTATTTCCACTTTTAGGGAATTTAATTTTGTTAGGATAGATTTAAGAATTCCTCTTAGGGTTCCTTTAAGGATACACCATCCATTTGCTTCAGATAAACATATCACCCCTAATACATGGTATTTTGTGCATGTAGGTGATGATTCCTATCATATGGATCCTCGTGATTTGAGGACAAATCCTTTTCAAGAGGGAGGGAATGATGGAATCATGCCTAGGAAGGCAAGGGGTGTCACATTGGAAGAGCCAAGAGGAGTGGGCTAGACATGAAGGTTTGGGCCAGTCAAGGTCCAATAGGTCCAATGGCCTTGGATGGTCCAAAGTGGAGTTTTACATGGGCCTATCTTGTTGTTCTTATATTTTGTAGTATAGGTTTGGGCCTTAGGGCTTTGTATTTCTTTTAGGCCTTGTATTTTGGCCAAGTAGTTTAGGAATTTAATTTCATGGTCATTTGAATTTAGGGTTAATTAGGAGTACATGTGCATTTTAATTTACATGTAATTAGCCTTACATTTAGTGAGTATTTCGGCCATGTGCACTCATGCACATGGGGTGTCCAAAAATTACTCCTAAATGCAAGGTAAATCACATGCAAATGGAGTGGCACATGGGGTGACCGGATTTGGCTCCCAAAATTTGAATATTTGAATTCAAATTTTGGCGCCTAAGGTTAGTTAAACCATACCATGGTTTAACTTAACCTTAGGTTAAGTCTAGTCACACACACTTCCTAATTCTATAAAGTATACCTATGGCCGGATATTGTAGATACTTTGGATTAATTTGATGAGTTTTTCTATCTTAGAACTCACCTCTCCGAAGTCACCTTGTTCCTAGACTCTACCCTACTTGAGAGATTCTCTTTGTAGAGCTAGAACCTCTTAATTCTTCTTCGGACTTGGCTATCCGTAAGCCTAGGTCACATTGAAGCTTCATTGGAGTCTTGTTCCTTGAAGATCTTCCAAGGAATTTCGAGAAGCTTGAAGTGTTCATGAGAATTCCAAGAGGAATCTCATCAGGGGTATTTATATTGTAGGCCCCTTTCCGATGGCAGTGCACCAATTAAAATTCTTGATCGTGGCGGTGGATTATTTTAGCAAGTGGATAAAAACGGAACCAGTAGCAACCATCTCGGCAGAAAAGGTGAGAGTCTTTTTTATGGAAAAATGTCATATGTTGATACGAAGTCCCGCAGGTGTTAGTATCAGATAATGGAACACAATTCACGAGTGAAATGGTTCAGAATTTCTGTAAAGAGGTCGGTATTCGGATGATGTTCACGTCCGTAGAGCATCCACAATCCAACGGGCAAGCAGAGTCGACAAACAAGGTGATACTCTCGGGAATAAGAAAATGATGGACTCCTTCCACCAAGGGGATGATCAAACGTTCAATGGTGAAGAGGATCTCCTATCCAAGGCCAAGATGGTGACCTTAGAGGGTGGACGTTCCTTCAAGGGTGAGGCTAAGTGATGGTGGGCGTGAAAGGTGGAGTCTTGGGCGAATAGGAGAAAGGTTGGGAGGATGGTGTTTTGGGTGCTTCTAGGTTGGCTTTCTTCACTAAGTGGAGGTGAAGGCCACTCAAGGAACCCTAAACTCACTCAAGGGAGGAGATGGGAGAGGTAGGCCGTGTAGGCAAAGTGACTAAGGAAAGGATTTGAGGCAAAAATGCTCTCTCAAATTCATATAATCCAAAGTATTTACAAGGTGTGGTGCATTGGGTATTTATAGGAGTGGGATGCATCTAGGGTTGCATTTAGAGAGTGCATGGCCGAAATTCACAATGCCAAATGCACCCAAATGAAATTGAAATTAACCCTAGATGCAACTTAGTGGCCAAGGATGAAATCTTTGGGTTTAATTAGGCTACACTTAGGTGCATGATAAGACCTTGCAACCATTGCCCTCCAATTGGGCCTAAGCCTTTCTAAGTCCAAAAATAAGTCCAAGAACACCAAAAAATGCGTCACCTCCTAATTTAAAACCCTAGCTCAAAAATTAAAATCCTAATCATCTAGAACACCCCATAATACAAGGGTAAAATGAGAAATACAAAAGAAAATAAATCATGACTAAGATACCCCAAAATACAAGGGTAAAATTGGAAATACAAAAGAAAATAAATTCTATGACTAAAATACCCCAAAGTACAAGGGTAAAATTGGAATAAAGCAATAAAATTCTATACTACTCAAATTGAGCCTAGGAGATGGATCCATACATGGTATCTCTCCATTCTCCTAGCCATGAACCATGTGATGGGTCTCACATGAAGTACCAAGGATGGTCCTCCATCACCTATCATGGGTGGAAGAGCTCCCTAAAGTATTATGGTCCTATCACACGACTATCCACTCATCCACCCAAGTAACCCCTTTTAACTTAGTGAATGGGATAGACGCTGTGATACCAGTTGAACTCAAAGAACCGTCCATGCGTGCACATGCTTCTTTGAGGAGGAATCTGAACAAGGAAGGCGAGTTGATTTGGACCTGACTGCCGAAACAAGAGACAGAGCTCGAATAAACCAGGTAGATGCACAACGAAAAGTAGCATTTAAATACAACTCAAAGGTCATCCCGCGAAGTTTCATTGAAGGAGACCTCGTCTTAAAGCGTGCTCAGTAGACCCAAATTAAGAATAAATTTTCTCCTAAATGTGTCGTCCCTTACCGCATTGACGAGGTAATCGACAAAGGAGCTTACCGATTGAAGACGCTTGATGGTGGAAAGATACCAAGGACCTGGAATGCAACAAATTTACGTTTCTACTATAGTTGATAATTTGTTTTGTATTTGGTGCACTCTTTTCCTAACCCAGAATTTTTATCCCTATAAAAATGTGAAAGGGTTTTTTGCTGAGAAGGTTTTTAACGAGGCACAAGTCAGCAATAAAGATCATTTTTATCTATCATGCATCGTTCAAAATTAACACAAACTCGTGATTGATCAGTTATATTCTGACTGGGCGAGTATAAATAACTCAAAGACAAACTCGTGATTGATTGGTCATATTCCGACTGGGCGAGTTTAAATAACTTGAAGACAAACTCGTGATTGATCGGTTATATTTTGACTGGGCGAGTATAAATAACTCGAAGACAAACTCGTGATTGATCGGTTATATTTTGGCTGGGCGAGTATAAATAAATCGAAGACAAACTCGTGATTGATTGCTTATATTTCGACTGGGCGAGTATAAATAACTCGAAGACAAACTTGGATTATTTTCCTTCGCTTTATAGGGGATCAGAATTTGAACGATGAGTTTATCCGTTCAAAAAGTAAGTTTTAAACTTGGATTATTTTCCCTCATTTTACAGGGAATCGGAATTTGGACGATGAGCTTTCCGTCCAAAAACTAAGTTTTAAACTTGGATTATTTCCCCTCACTTTATAGGGGATCAGAATTTGAACGATGAGTTTATCCGTTCAAAAAGTAAGTTTTAAACTTGGATTATTTTCCCTCATTTTACAGGGAATCGGAATTTGGACGATGAGCTTTCCGTCCAAAAACTAAGTTTTAAACTTGGATTATTTCCCCTCACTTTATAGGGGATCAGAATTTGAACGATGAGTTTATCCGTTCAAAAAGTAAGTTTTAAACTTGGATTATTTTCCCTCATTTTACAGGGGATCGAAATTTTGGACGATGAGCTTTCCGTTCAAAAGCAAAGTTTTTGACTTGGATTATTTCCCCTCGCTTTATAGGGGATCGAAATTTGGACGATGAGTTTTTTCCGTTCAAAAACAAAGTTTTTAAATTGGATTATTTTCTCTCATATTACAGAGGATCGACATTTGAACGATGAGTTTATCCGTTCAAAAACTGTTTTTAACTTGGATTATTTTCCCTCATATTACAAGGGATCGTAATTTGGACGATGAGTTTTTCGTTCAAAAGCAAAGTTTTTAACTTGGATTATTTTCCTCACTTTATAGGGGATTAGAATTTGGACGATGAATTTTTCCGTTCAAAAACAAAGTTTTTAACTTAGATTATTTTCTATAAAAATACACATTTTTAACTTAATCTTATTTCCTTTGAGTTCTATGTGGAATCAGACTTTGAACGAGATGTAAGTTTTA